ATGGATTGCGCACAGTACAGCACATACAGAAACGCAGTTCTTCTACATGGGCAACGCCGAGCCGCGGCGGGCATGCGGCGGGGACATTCACACGAGCATGTGCAGGAGCTGCACACGCACTCCCTTGCTGTTCGAGTGCATTTGTAAAGCACACGCACGCGCCGGTTCGCACAGCCGCACACATGCGAATATTCATACGCACGCGCGCGCGCCTTCGCACACACAAGCGCAACCACACACACACACACACATCGCGCGAGACCGAGATTTCTGAAGACTGAGTGTCGGGCGTTGCGCGAATGTGACGCGCACGAGCGGAATCGATGTGAAGATCGAGGTGAAGCGAATGTGACACAGACGTGCGGTGACACTTGTGCGACGAATGCAAACGTTTGCGAGGCCAAGGCGCTTGATGCGTGCAGCGATTGCAGTGCGAGCCAATAAGTGTGTGAGGGACCGCTTGAATCCATGCATGGTGCAATTAGTATGCAGGTAACATGTGCAGCGCCGCGAGCGGCACCTGGAACGAGCATAAGCCAATTTTCGCATAATGAGGCAGTGTTGGTCCGCATCTTAATTCTTGATCGGCTGCAGGTCATTGGTGCTGGCATTTGTTGTCCAGTGCGCAAGGGTTCTCGTCTGTGTTTGCTATACGAAGCACGCTACAGTATGTCTAGATGAGTGACTGTGCTGACTGAGTCATGCAATTGCGCCGCGCACTCTGCCTGCTATCTGTCACCAGCCCAGCTTAAGCAACGGTTCGGGGTAAGAATTTGTTCAAAGCGGTCCATTTTCTCTCACTTGTATTTCTTGCCGCGGCATCCGTGGCTACATTGGCGGTTGTTCCAGTGCAAGTGCAATCGCGTTTGTGGCCTGGCCCTGCCCAACCACCTCATACGTCATCGTTCGTCTTGCCGATCTGCCATGTCCTTGGTTGCACCTGCTATCTTAGCCCACAGCAGAGTTCTGCAATATTGGAGCTAGGGGTTTGGTTTCCGCTCGCGCGAATCCATGGCAAATCGCACGCGTGTTGGCTGACTCGGGGCGAGCAAACGCCTCTGCGTGTTGGCTGACTCGGGGCGAGCAAACGCCTCTGGGGGCGGGGTCCTTGCGGCTTTAAGCTGCTCGGTCAGCGTCGATTGCAAGCAGTAAGTTAATCGTGGACGTGCTCGTTATGTGGTACAGGCTACGTGGCGTAAGCTATGCGGTGCAATCTGTGATGTAAGTTATGCGATGCAAGCTTATGCGGTGCAAGCTGGATCGTGCGAGCCATGTTTGTAAGCTATGTTGCTTCACCCATGCCGTGCAGGCTACGTGGAGTAAGCTGTGCGCTGTAGGTTGTTCGGCGCAATCTGTGTGGTGGTGATGATGATAAGGAGGAGGAGGAGGAGGAGGAGGAGGAGGAGGAGGAGAAGGAGGAGGAGGAGGAGGAGGAGGAGGAGGAGGTGAAGGAGGAGAAGGAGGAGGGGGAGCAGGAGGAGCAGGAGGAGGAGGAGGAGGAGGAGGAGGAGGAGGAGGGGGAGCAGGAGGAGCAGGAGGAGGAGGAGGAGGAGGAGGAGGAGGAGGAGGATGAGGAGGAGGAGGAGCAGGAGGAGCAGGAGGAGGAGGAGGGGGGGAGGTCACAACGCTGCTGATCGTGTGGGCGATCGACCGCCTCGGCGGCAGCTGCCTCTGCCTCGCCACGGCGCCCCGCCGGCCACCGCGCGCCGCGCCGCCTCGCGCCGCCTCGCGCCGCGGGCCGCTGCTTTCGGGCAGCTCGGCCGCCAGGGCTCCCTGCGCTCGGGGGTAAGAGCGACACCCAGACCTCCGACGTCGCGAGAAGCTCACGACGAAGGTTTTTGGACCACTCTCGGCCTCAGGAGGCCCCCGCCGGGCCTCGGGAGCGTCAACAGAACGGCTCGGGATGAAGAGCCGGTCCCGGGGACGTTCTCCAGACTTCGGGGGGCCGACGCCGTGAGTTTCTCGCGACGTCGGGGGTTTGGGTACAGAGACCGCTGCCCATCCCTCGTCCTCGCCTGCTTGGGCGTCCGGGGAGGCCCTCGTCGCCACGGTGGGGTTCTCTCTTCGACATTTTGGCGCCAGAGCGCCCCCCACGAGAGGTCCGTGGAGCAGCGGTGTGGGCACCTTTTTTGTTTCCCCACGTGCTGCTTACATTTTGGATGGGGGGGGCCTCGGGCCAGTCAAATCGTGGCCGTGTTTTTTCGGCGCTCGCGTGCCGAGGCGCCGCTGGAAGCGGTTGCTGGTCGCAACGGTGGTGCAGCGGGGGGTGTATGGACCCGGCACGATCCCAAAATAAAAATTAAAAAAGCAGTTCTGCGCAATACAAGGCAATGCACGACAGGCATGACTTGGCGTTGCTTGTCATTGCTTTGGGCGTCGCTCGATATTCCTTGGCATTGCCGGGCCTGACTTTACATTGCTGGGCATTGCACTGCTGGGCATTGTTTGGCGTTGCTGTGCAGTGCTTGGCATGACTCGGCATTGCGCTTAGCATTGTCTGGCATTGTTTGGCATTGCCTGGCATTGCTTGGCGCTGCTTGGCATTGCTTGGCGTTGCTTGGCATTGCTTTGCATTGCATTGCGCTGCAATGCACTAGTTTTGGTATTACTTGGCATTTTTTGAGGTTGCTTGGCCTTGCCTCACTCTGCCTGGGCAACCCTGGGCAACCCCGGGCAACTCCTGGCAGCCGTGTGGGCCGCCTCTGACGAAAGACCCTCGCATCCCTTCGGCAAAGCCTAACTGAAGAGAGAACATGTGCTACTTGGTGTGTCTTGCCGCAGCTGCCAGAACATGGTGGTCTCACCCTCTGCATGTACCTTTGGACCTCGGTCCCCGTCGTCCCGAGGGTGGCCGATGGGGAGGGGATGAGGAGGATGAGGATGAGGATGAGCAGGAGGAGTAGGAGGAGGCTGAGGAGGAGGTGGAGGAGGAAGAGGAGGAGGAGGAGGAGTAGGAGGAAGAGGAGGAGGAGGAGGAGGAGGAGGAGGAGGAGGTGGAGTGGGCTTTAGAGGGTCTTGGCGTTCCCGGCGCCGAGTGACCTACAGCTAGCCAGTGACGATGGTGCGAACGTGGAAGACGATGACGAAGTAGGAGGTGGAGCAGAATATTCAGAGCAGGAAGCGGATGACGAGGACGAGCAGCAGCCGACTGATGCGCGCTCGTTTTGGAGGTGGCCTGGGTATTGTTTGGACGTCTTCAGGGCGGGTCTCAGACTTAATGGGGCCTTGGCGTTCGCGGCGCCGACTGGCCTACTGCTGGCCGAAGCGAGTAGACATGAGCTGTCTCGGGGGATCAGGCAGCGGCCGCCCAAGGAGGCGGGGACGCGGACATGACCGCGAGGGGCTCGTGGTCATGCCGCCGGGGCAGTCGTGCCGTCAAGGCGGCGCGCGCCCCTGACCTGGATCTCGAGTTCGGCCTGTTGGGGCCTCGCGGCGTGTTTCTGTGCGGCCTCTTGAAGCCCTGCTTGGCTCGTGAACCTGGGGGCCTCTGGACGCCGCTCTGGGAACGCCGCGCAGGACGTGGACGCAGGACCTCCCCTGCGCTTCCGGGGGCCTATCGGGAAGCTCTCTGGGAGCCTTCCGGAGGCATTTTGGGAGTCTCTGGGGGCCTTCTCGGCCGTCTTGGCGGTCCTTTCGGGGTTGTCTTGGGCTGGCGGGGGGCCCTCTTGGGCTGTCCTGGGGCCCTCTTTGGCCGTCTTGGGGAGCTTGGGCCGTCTTCGGGCCCTCTTGGGGCCCTCTTGGGCTGTCTGAGGGGGCTCCTGTGGACCTCTTGGGGCTCTCCTTGTCCTGGGCCTTCTTGGGGTTCTCTTAGGCCGCCTTGGAGCCTTCTTGGGCCCTCTTGGGGCCCTCTTGGGTCGTCTTGGGACGATCATAAGGGCCTCTTGGTTCGTCCTGGGCTCTGTTAGGAGCGAAACAAACGCTAAACATATACGTTTCCCGAAGGGCATGCGACGATCTGCGCTTCTTGGGGGCGCACTGGGGTGCTTCTTGGGCTGTCTGAAGGAGTTCTGTGGCCGTCCATTTTGGAGGTATCTTAGGGCGCCCTGGGAACCTCTTGGGCCAGCTTGGGGGCCTCTAATGCCGGTGTGTGTGGGGGGTGGCGTTCTCGGCTGTCTGGGAGCTCTTCCGACCGGTGCCCCAGGGCTGGGGAGTACCGTCAAAGGTGTATGGGGTGGGTGGGCCATCCGGGGGGGGTTCTCCCATGCACGATGTATATGTCTAGGAATATCCCCCTCTCCCTCATGCCTGGCCCTTCCCTGCCTCCCCCCCTGTCTCTGCCACTTGGACACGGCATGAGGCCACGGCCTCGGGCGCCTTGCCCAAAAGGGCACGGGCACACTTGCGTGCCCGACTCTGGCGCCTTCGCTTCGCTTTGCCCCCTGCCTCTGCCTCCTCCCCTGCCCCCGGCTCCTTCTCTCCCTGCCCCCCCTCTCCTCGCCCCCCCCTCCCATCCGCAGCCGCTCAGGCTCATTGGCCGTGCGGGCCTCGCGCCGCATGGGCGCGGCCACGGGCCAGGTGGCCGGGGCGGGCGCGGCGCGCCATGCCGTCCGAGTCCGACTCGTCGGAGCCGGAAAGGCGCAAAAAGAAAAAGCGGAAGGAGGAGAAAAAGGATCGGAGGAAGAAAAGGTACCCATACCGCTACCCTTCCCTCGTTTTCGCCTTTTTGGGGCCTCCTGGGTGGCCCTGGTCGCCACCGCTGGATCTGCTTCGGTCTTCGTGTCGGAACGCGCCCGGGAAAGGTCCGGGGGGAGTAGCGGTATCCGTGCCTCTTGGTTTCCCCAGCAGGAGAAGGCCGCGAAGCGGGAAAAGGGCGATAAGAAGGCGGGCAGGCGGAAGGACCAGCCGCCCGGGTCCGAGGAGCCGAGCCAGCCCCGGCGAGCCGCGCGGCCGGCGGAGGACTTCGGGGCCTCGGGGCTGCTCGGCGGCGCCGAGGACGCGGCCTCGCCCCCGCCGCCAGGCGGCGCCGCGGGCGCGCCGAGGCAGCGCTCGCGCAGCCGGGACGAGCCTCCCAGGCTGCGGCTCGAGCTCCGCGACAGCGACGGCAAGGGCAAGGGCAAGGGCAAGGGCAAGGATCAGAGGAGGACAAGGTAGCGACACTGCCGTCCTGGCCCCGCGTGCGCCCTTTGTGGGCCTCCTGGGAGGCCCCCGTCGCCATCGCTGGGTTCGCGTGGGAGGTGTGGAAGGAACGCGCTCCAGGAAAGTCCGGGGAGGGGCGGTATCGGTGTCTTTTGGTTTCGTTAAAAGGAGAAGGGCGATGGCCCGCCCGAGCCAGAGGTGCCCAAGGAGCAGCCGAACTTCGAGGCTTCGGGGCTGCTCGCCGTCGAAGATAACTCGAAGGGCGGCATCCCCCTCAAGTTCACAAACCCTCCAGAGGCGCGGATGCCGAAATTCAAGTGGCGGCTGTACGTCTTCACGAAGGAGAAGAGGGACGAGCCGTTCAAGATTTTGCACATCCACCGGCAGCTGGCAGTGCTCTTCGGTAAGGACAGGAGAGTCGCAGACGTGCCTACAGACCACCCTACGTGCAGCAAGCAGCACGCGGTGCTGCATTATAGGATGACGCCGAGCGGCGATGTCAAGCCCTACATCATGGACTTGGAGAGTGTGAACGGCACATTCCTGAACGGTGATAGGATTGAGTCGGCTCGGTATTACGAGATGCGGGAGGGAGACGTGCTCAAGTTTGGCTCGAGCACTCGCGAGTTCGTCTTGCTGCACGGTGCTTCTGCAAACCACATTGGCATCGACCCCAACCGGCTGATGTCTCCAGACTGATTGGCCGGCCCGCCCGCCCGTGCACACGAGGCGACGACAACTTGCGACCATCGCTTGCGTCGGTGTCCACGCGCGCTGTGGCCGGAG